TTTTATTATGATAAAAATAATATTGACAATAATGACAATTTAGTTTTATGTTTAATATTTATATATAAACAAATAAATGAATTTAAGCATTTCGCCTACGGACTGAATTTGTCAAAATTAGAAAAAAGTTAAAGTTAAAACTGCTTAATAATTTTTAGATGTCAGATAAAATATCAAATAAAATTGGTTCTAAATTCCCTGCGGTAGTTGAAATAAAATATTGTCATATAAAAATTAGCAGTACCATTAGGTCTTTTTGTACTGAGCTCAAAGGTTAAGTTAAGCATAAAAATACACTTAATTTTTGACTAATTCATTTTTAGAGAGTACATAATCCTATTATAAGTACATTTTATTCCAGAGTGATTTCAAATGACAAAATCGCATTTAATATTATTTATATTTTAAAATATGTTTACTGTTGTAAAACAAATTAAAATTAATTTACTAAATTTTATGAAAGTAATTTTAGTAAAATACCTACGCTTTTATTTAAAATTAGCTTGAAAAAGCCGCTTATTAAATATAATAGTTACTTATGTCATAAGGCTAAGAAGCCGAATGACATACAACATTTTATCTTCAAGGCACAGTTTTATTTGTTGAACGTACTTACAATTTAATCGGTGAGATTAAGAACATATAAGTTCAAAAGTTAATATTTTAAAAAATTATTTCTTAAAATCAGTTTTATAGTTCAAAATGCATTTTTGTTAAAATATTTTAACTATTTTATAAAATATTATAACTTTATTTTGTAAAATGATTCATATATTTTCCCAAAAATGAACTTTAAACTTTTAAATTGATTTTAAAAAATGATTTGACAAAATAAATTTTTTGGACTCACCGATTCAATTAGGTATAATAACAAATATTAAAAGTATAAAGTAACGGGTTTTTTACAGACTAGGATGCAAGAAACTTCACCTTATCGGTCTAAATTATTTTTACAGCCTAGGTAATAAACGAATACTTTGCTAGTGACAATTAAATTATAGAACGCTTGAAGATAAAATTACATTGTTTATTATTTTGGTATTACTTTTTTAAAATAAATTAGTCAAAAATGACTGTCGAAAAAAAGCAGCCACTAATAATTGCAGTCACATCAATTTGTAAGTCGGACATTTAACAGTCAATTCCTATGTAAAATTGCAGGATAAATCTGAAAATACCGTCAAAAGTTATAAAAGTAGAGCAGTTTTTGCGATATAGTCAATTTCATATTATATGGAAAATTGACTATTTCTCAAAAAATGTTCTACATTTAATCAAGTGATCAACTTACAATTAACAAATCGGTGAATTTGGTGTGGTTAACGCCTTATAAATGTCAACGTTTAAAAATTATAACTTTGGTTAGCATTAAAATGGAAGAACATTTAACGGATGATGAAGATTTTTTAGAATTGCTATAAATTTTTATTCATCCTAGAAGAGAAAATTTTGTGTTAGACCTGAGTATTTTAGAGATTTAAATGAAGAAGAATTTTTAAATGAAGAAATATCAGCCATAATTTCTTCAAAAACTAATAAAAATCAAGCGCTTTCTTCCAAGCAAATGATTGAATTAACTTTAAGATTTTTGGCAACGGGTTCATTTTGGCAAACAGTTGGAGATTTTTCGGGCGTAGATAAATCTACTGCAAGTATAGTTGTATTAAAGGTAATAAGAGCTATAGCTAGTTTATATGGCCAATGCATAAATATGCCAAATACTGAAGAATCTCATCAGTTATACGAGAATTCTATATGTTAGCCCGTGTCCCTAAATGTGAAGGTGCCGTCAGTGGCGGCTGGTGACATATTAAATTGAGCAGAAATTTATATACATGCAAAAATTGGAAAATAAACTTACCGATGTATGTAAGATGTGAGACCCATACTAGTTGAAAACCATATATTTACAAAATGTTTTTAGGTATACCTATAGGTAACAGTTTCTTAATCTAACATTTTTCAAACAAGTACTTATTTTATTTGTTTATAGATAAAGTCAATTCGCCTTTCTTTTACGTGCGCAAAGTGCTCAATGAAAAGTTCATTAAAATTTTCAGTAGCCAACAATTTTCTTTCAATGGAACACATAGCTAAAGCGATTAATCTATTTTCGCGTAAAAGTTTTAATGCGATTTAATGTTGAAAAAGACCGTTTACATTCAACTGTTGTCATAGGCATTGTACATACGATTTTTAATAATTTAACAGACTCTGAAAACGCATCACACAGATTATTTTCATAAAAGCACTGTAATAATGGTAATGCACCCGAAGCACTTCAATGCATGCAAAATCCTGCATGCTGTTTAACAAAGTTAAACATTTTAACTGCTAGTTCATACTCTTTATCAGGAAACAATAATTGAAATTTACAAAATAACGTTGGCTGAAAAAGTGTAGCTATGGAGAGATGATCAGAGAACCGGAAACGATCTTCTAGGGATGTAATAATAACGTCGCATACTTCCTTAGCAACATTTTTATAAATATCTTGATAACGGGCCCTTTTTGGTTGTGATACTGGTTGATTATTCAATGAACCCAGGCAATGATTATCAACCAGCTATTATTGATTAATCCGTGATTTATAAATCTGTTATTAAACAGACTTTTATACAACTGGGCCTTAGGCGCTTGTGTGGGGAAGGCTCTTTTTTTAAATAAAACAGCGTTAAAAAACAAACAGCTTTAACAATTTTTTAAAATTATATTTTAAAAGTCGAATTACATATTTTTATCATGTAACAAGGTGCACCAAATATCCTTCGATTTTTTTTATTTGAAAGACTACAAGGTCGTTTAACTTAAAATTAGAATTTTAAAAAATACAATGCCTAATAATCCACACCAATAGTTTACTGTCTTCAAAAACATTTTATTTTTTAGTTTTAAAATGATGCAACAATCTAATATTTTAAAATTTGTACGAAAAGATTAATCAAAATATAAACTAACATTAAGTTTTTGCTAGTGGAGTATGGCTTTCTATAGGCAGTATACTGCCAAATTCGCTGCCCATTTTCTCTATTCTAACAGAATAAATAATAATTATCATAAAGATATAATTTTACAAATTAATAAATATTCCTATATTTTTTTTATTTTATTAATTCTTTTTTTATTAATAAAATAAAAAAAAATAAAGGAATATTTATAAATTTGTAAATTTAAATCATGAACTGAATTAAATATAACTAAATTTTTAATATCTTTAAGAAAATGCAGAAAAAAAAAGAATTAATAAAATACACCCACAGGCAAAATAATCGATCCACACAAATTTTCGATTAATTTCAATCGCAAATAACTTTTTTATTTAATTTCGGATTTAAACAAATATTAAAGAATATTGTAGATACATTAATAGAGAATCGCTCACATTTTAAAAATTACTAAAAAATACACGTACGTTTATAATATACAGGTTTAAGCAAAAAGATGATTTTTACCATAAGTTTAAGACACTCTGCTCTCTAAAAATAAAACAGTGGATTTTCACTGATTGACAGTGCATATTAATTATTTGCCGCAGTGATAAGTATACCACTAGCAATTAGTGAATACTCACTTTTTCATGTAGCGATTTCTTTGCACTAATTTACTTAGTGGAAATTACACTGTACAAATTAGTGAAATAGGTTTAGTTCAAAAAAGTTAAAATTTCACTATTTTATGTCGAGAGTTCCGGAAAAGTAGTGATAATAAAAAACACTAATTTGAAGAAGTTAAAATTTCACTAATTTATATTGAAAAACACTAATTTTACAGTGAATAATAACTCACTGACGGAAATAGTGAAAATTTCACTGTTTCACTTTTAGAGAGTGTAAAGTGGCAAAACCGTATATTGTTTTAAATTAAGTTTTAATTATCAAGTCACATCTATTTTTAACAGTTTTGTTTTTGTTTTACCTTGATATATTTATTTTTGTGGAAAATATGGATTTAAAAAAAAACAGCAATTTCCAATATTTTTCCTGTATGAAGGACTAAGGTTGCTATGGTCCATCAGCCTATGGAGAATGACAGTGACAGTTTTGTTGATCCCATTCTTGGGCATGTCATATACAGCTTTCAAAAGCTATCAAATTGTTTTTTGTAAATTAATGTGTTAATTTTGAGGTGTCTTCTTACTTTTAAAAATTTCTCCGACTAATTTTGCCCTTTGTACTTTACTTCTTGTGACGTTTAAAACACTTGCCACGTAATACTGTGACCGTCCATCCTTGATTAAATTAATGGCTCTGGCAACATCAGTCGGAGACATTTTTAAAGTAAGAAGACACCTCAAAATTTATACATTAATTTGCAAAAAACAATTTGATAGCTTTTGAAAGCCGTGTATGACATGTCGAAGTATGGGATGATTCAACTAAACTGTCACCATCATTCTCCATAGCCTATGCATGGACCTTAGCAACCTTAGTTCTTCATACAGAAAAATATTGGAAATTGCAATGTTTTTTAAAAAAATCCATATTTTCCACAAAAATAAATATATCGAGGTGAACCAAAAACAAAACTGTTAAAAATAGATGTGACTTGATAAATAAAACTTAATTTAGAACAATATACGGTTTTGCCACTCTACAGAGTGTCGTAAATTTATGGTAAAAAACATCTTTTAGTTTAAACCTGTATATTATAAACGTACGTCTATTTTTTAGTAATTTTTTAAAATGTGAGCGATTGTCCATTAATGTATCTACATTATTTTTTAATATTCGTTTAAATCCGACATCAAATAAAAAAGTTATTTGCGATTGAAATTCATCGAAAATTTGTGTGAATCGATTATTTTGCCTGTGAGTGTAAAATAAAAATAAAGGAATATTTATTAATTTGTAAAATTATATCTTTATAATAATTATTGTGATCATAATCATTTATTCTGTTAGAAAATGGGCAGCGAATTTGGCAGCAGAGAGCAATACTCCACTAGCAAAAACACTCCACTATAAAAAAAAATTATATTAAATTTGCTGTTTTTGTTTCAGGTTCGTGAAGGATACAGACTGGATAAGCCGGAGCACTGCAGGCGAGAGCTGTACAACATAATGTACTACTGTTGGGACAAGGATCCGAAGCAGCGTCCCTCGTTTTCAGAGTGTATCGAACTCCTGGAAAAGCTGCTCGTCAGCGAGACAGACTACATCGAGTTAGAGCGGTTCCCCGATCACTCCTACTACAACATGATGAGCTTTAGCGGAGAAAAATTATAGCTGACACGTGTGATAAGTTTTAGTTAAGATTCGTTTCATAAAAGACATTCCATATTTATTTTCGTTTTTATTTAAGATTTGCAGACGAATTTTATTAGTAATCAGGCCACAATGTCCAATCGATACTCTTTTAGTATAAATGACTTTTTAAATTTTTTAATTAAAAAATTGTCATTATTAGCGAGAAGCTTCTTTTTTAGCTTTAGGTACCTATGTATAAAACAAAAGTTGCAACTAATTAAAAATATTCTTTTAACATTCAATAAATGTACAAAAAATAAAAACACTAAATTCTAAAACTAAATTTAGTATTAGTATTTAGAATTTTTATTTTCTGTACATTTATTGAATGTTAAATAGTAGATTATGTCATAAGGAGTAGAAGCGACTCTTTTTGTGGTAAGTACAGAGATTGACGGCCGAAGCGTAGCTGAGGCAGGCAACTGTACGAAGCACAAAAAGAGCTTCTACTCCAAATAACATATACAATTTTTTTTTTCAAGGGCGTAATATAAATAAGATAAGCAATGGAATTATTTTATTTACTCTTAACTCATGTGGTATAAAATTTTGGCTAAAAGCATCAGAAATTATTGATAAAAACTAAAAAAACTTATAACCCTTACTTACAATGCCGATAAATATCCTAAACTAAAAATAAACCCTGCTCTGTCAAAATTCTGCGCTTGAATTAATTTTGACGTACTGACATTTGTTTGGAGTTCCGACATTGGCAACTCGTCTATCATCATAATATTATACTAATAAACTAGTTGTTCTTTATTTCGTTCAATTAAAATTTAATAAATAATCACTAAATATTCCGTGCGATTATAATTAATATAATTAATACAACGTGATTGCTTTGTATGAAATGCGCTTGAATTAATTTTGACGTACTGACATTTGTTTGGAGTTCCGACATTGGCAACTCGTCTATCATCATAATATTATACTAATAAACTAGTTGTTCTTTATTTCGTTCAATTAAAATTTAATAAATAATCACTAAATATTCCGTGCGATTATAATTAATATAATTAATACAACGTGATTGCTTTGTATGAAATGCTAAATTAATTTTATTATTTGACGTCTATTGAGACACCTATGGATTTACTTCTATCCCTAGGCCTTTTTGAGTTTTTTGTCTGCCGCTAATGAAAAAGACGCACTTCAACTATCTCTATACAGGCATATAAGGTTGTATATCATGGCCGCTTAAAAAAAAAAGAATATATTTAATTAGTTGCATCTTTTGTTTTAAACATACCTAAAGCTAAAAAAGAAGCTTTTCGCTGATAATGACATTTTTCCAATTAAAAAATTCACAAATCGGACAATATTAAATCTTAAAAAAAAAGTTTTTAATCCACTAATTAAAATCAATATAATAAAATTATATTAATTAAAATTGAATAATAATTGAACGGACACCGTTGCCTGACTATATTGTTAAAACTTATAAGGGTATCCAAGAAGACTAAAATTTCATATTAAAAAATAAGACGATACATTTTTTATATTTTTGTTTTGGTTTAATTTAAAATTTAAGTCTTTGTCGAGACAAATTTTAAAAGTTAAAAGTAAAACACATTTTCTTTATTAATGCCGAATTGATATTTTTAAATGATATTTAAGCGTCTTCCATATATTTTATACTAGTTATTGAATATTTTATATTCAGCTCACTCCCAGTGGTTGTTACAAAGACAAAATAACCAAAGGCTTTAAATAATTGGTTTTAAAACGACCAAGAAGATAATTATAATATTTGCTAAAGCAATACAACAATATAAACAAATATTATTAACTTGTATATATTGTGTGTTTCAAATTTGCTTTTATTTAGTTTAGATATTTAGTACAGTAGGTATTTAAGTGCAATAAATTTGTAAATATTATTGTTTTTTGTTCTATTTCTTATTAAAATAAAAGTGATAATTATATTTTAGTTTTGATTAGTATTTTATACCCCAAATGAATGCAAAATTAAGCAACTGACAAGTAAATTATTATTCTTATTATTGTTGCTTTTCGTAGACCCTTTTGTTCTGTGACCTTTATATTAAGTTTGGTTTTGTAATTTTTAACATTAAAAAATATCAACAACAAAAAACTTGCTAACGTTAATAATTTATATTATCTACTCCTATTGCATATTATTGGGTTTTTCATTGAATAATGATAAACATTATAAATTCCCTGCCTAACAACGGGAATACGGGAATAATGAACTCATTATAAAATAACAAAGAGATGCCCAACGAAATAATATTTCACATATTATGTGATATTGATATTTTTACTTAGAAACAACAAAACAACTTTTACATATACCTATTATGTATCAAGTTTTATAAATGCCATTCTAGTCTAGAAAAGTTTATAAACGAGTTGCATACTACACTTTTTCCACGACAAATATTATTAGGTATAAAAAACAATATATTTCTTACTAGTTACTTTAAATATTTCCATAGAAATATAAGTAACTTTAAGAAGAAAAAGTTCGAAATTTATCTCTTGAAATGGACAAACAACCGTTAAAATCCGATATGTAAGCAGTTTTTAGAAGACCGGGTAGAAACCAGAAATCATTTTTTACAGAAGAGACAAAAAAATTATTATAACTGAGTAACTTTATTTCTTTATTATTATTTTGTGTTAGTGAGATATGTATTGATACCTACATACATATAAAGTACTAACTAGAGTTGGGGATGGTCACTTGACCGCTACCTATTTGACCGGTCAATTGACCGGTCAAAATATATTTAATTTTTGCAGCATTTTATTTAGGTATCAACAATTACCCGTGAATCTCAAAATTTTTGCGATCGTGCAATATAGACATCATTTACAAGTTGGTGGTTCCCCGAGTCGAGGGGTTGCTAGGCCGGACTCGGCGCTTTGCCCTTAAAGCGGGACATATCTTTTTAATAGCGAAACATAACTTTTTAAAGCCGCACAAACGTTTCTAAAGATGAACATAACTTTTATAATAAAACAAATTTTTAATCAGTCAGCTTCCAGCACTTGAGAAGGGACCACGCGATAGCGAGTGCTCTTGAAACGTAAAAGGTTAAAGACTAAAACCAACAATAATTTTTAAAATGTGCAAACCAATTATAGTGAAACAAACAATTTTCATAGAGTGCAAACTAAACTAAACTAAAATGGTGCAACGGTCAATGAAGAGTGAAGTGTTAAGTGATGAATGAGTTAAGTGCCACCTGTCATTGGACGCTTTACACTGGACAATCAGAGGAGGTCAATCAAGAAGGGAGGTGGCCATCCGCAAAAAATTTGATAAGTATCCTTAAGCATATTCATGACCTAACACATAATCTGCAATTTAAATTAAACACGACGATATCTTTAAAACTCAAGAAAGGCACACTGCGTAGACCAATAAAGCTGTCAACAACAAATAAGGCAAATCACGGTGCGGTTGAACCAACTTTAAATGAGGGTGTCCGGTGACATTGGATTTTATTTTTTCATTACATTCTAAATACCTTCAAAATACATTTTTAAGAAAAATTTAAAACATCCTTAGAGCCGTTTTTTTTAAATCGAATTAAAGGTTATTTTTTAAAAAAGCCGTTATTTTCGAATTAAATGATATTTGAAATACAAAAAAATCTAGGAACTAAATATATTTTAGATTCCATGCTTTAAAAATAGTATAGTAGACGCGGCGAATGTTTGCATCTGACTGATTGCATGCTGACGATATCATAGATATGCAAGCAGTAATGTTGTACGCGACTTTTACATTCAATGTATCAGCAACTACACACACGCGTATGTCTGTAAACATTACTTTTTGCGAAAACTGGCAATAAGTCATATGAAATTATTCGTTGCATCTACTATACTTTTTTAAAGCAAAAACTTTTTCTTTAATAAAGAACAAACAAATAAACAAACGAAAAAACAAATGAATAGTGTCTTAGCAACTAAACATTTGTATTAACAACAAACAGTCAATTGTTTGTAATCTTTCAAACGAGGCTCTTTATTTTACTCTTGTCTGTGCTTTTGTATTAAAATGTCGTTATCTAAAGATCATGCACCAACTCATTCTGAAAATCGTAAAAAATTGTGTTTAATATGTTTAAAGAAAAAGAGTAACTTAGTGCAAATAAATGGGAAGCTTTTAGAAAAAATATTAAGCGTTGCTTCTTATAGCAGTAATGATGATCGTTTTCGAAGTGTGATTTGTAAAGCATGTCGATTCAAAGTTTATGAACTAAATAAGTGCGAAAGTACTAAAGAATCTTTAAAATTACCGGATTATTCTAATTGGAAACATCCGAATAAATTAATAACAAGGTCGGCTGATGGAGAAGTATGTATTTGTGATCTATGTAAAATGGCTAGGAATCCAGGTAAATTTAATTTTGTGCCTTCATCTAAACCTAATCTGAGAAGTCAAAGTCATTATAAAAATTTATTAAGACGGGCTTCAAAACTAATTAATAAACATTTTTTTCTATTTCAAATATCATTTCATTAAAAAATAAACGGTTTTCAAAAATTACTTGAAAAATTAACTTAAAATTAATTTAAAAAAAAAAACGGCTCTAAGGATGATTTAAATTTTTCTTGTAAATGTTTTTTAAAGGTCCTTAGAATGAAATGCAACAATAAAATCCAATGTCACCTGACCCCCACATTTAAAGTGGCTTCAACCGCACCGTGAAATCCAAACGAGACCAATAATAAACACTAGACACACAGAATAAACTAACACATTAATCATATAATCTTAACATAGTTTTAAAAAAAAGCATAATAATCAAACTCTACTGGATTTGTAAACATTAGATAACAGAATAATTGCGCTTGTCATTTGTTTAACTAATAAATAAATGCATTACTTAATTTTGGAATTTAAGAAAAAAAGACAAAACTCTACCACAAAACGTGCTTGGGCAACACAATAACTAATAATAAAAAAAATGGTTAGAAATTTCGCACTTCTGCGACAATAAACAATTAAAAAAAAAACACCAAAAGCTACAAGTTACACCCAGCGACTGAACTATCTATCGATGGTTTTTGGCATCAAGACTGAGGACACGGGCAATGACAATAACGAACAAGACGAAGACCTCGACTAGGAAACTTCACCCCTGCAGC